GTGTGTGTGTGTGTGTGTGTGTGTGTGTGTGTGTGTGTGTGTGTGGTATATACTGCGGTGCCAATCATGGACCCTCAGTTCCATAGCCCATCATACTAAATATCCCCAAAGACAGAGATTTAATCCATCAAATTATTATCAACCAGGTCTTTATTTTTATTTCCTGCTTCATTTTGTGGTGTCACTTATTAATAAAAATCTCAGTTACCAGATTCTATCCATCTACACTTACGTTAAAATAAGAACTTCTTTTGCATGCGTTTGATGCATAGCACATTCTTTTCAGAGATATCCAGAAGAGGAAAGGAAGAATGAAAATGAGTCCTTCTACAAGAAGTTACTTATTTGCTTTTCATTTCAATGATGAAAATAAACATTTCAAAAGCATTATGTAAGCAAAGAAATGATGTATTGACCATTTGGTGAGACCTGGAATACCTATCAGCCAGCCTACCCATGAAGCAAGTCAGGTGTTAGTCAATTCATCATACAAAGAAAATACTGAAAGGAAACACTAAAAGTTGACATATAGCATATTTTTATGCCATTTGAAATTAGTGTATTTTGATCTGAATTATAAATATATTAATAAGGACTACTAAGTGAATATGAAACCTAAATACAGCAAAAGTGAGATCTGGTTAACATGCCAAACCATGAAGCAAGATTGGATATTAGTCAAGTCAGTCAAAACAATCTCAGATTCAGCAAAAATCAATCAGTCAACCAGCCTGAAGTAGCAATGAAAAGCCAGGTAGGAAAGAAATAAGAAATACTGTTGAAGGCAAAAGATACCAAACCAAGAATAAATGAAAGAGTTCAGAACTGACTCACAAACAAATAAAAGGAGTAAACTTTGGTGAGTATGTGTGATAGTGATATGAAACATATAACTGAACTTCAAATTTCAAGAAACAGCTAGAGAAGAATAAACCGATTTAATTTTATGGCATAAACCATCATAACATGAAAAATAAATCTGAAAGAAAAGTACCATGATAAAATAGCAGCAAACAAAGGACAGTACAGAGAGAAAGGCAATTTCATTTTGAGATTATGATTCCTGATGAAATAAGTAATATTACAGTTTGTGTACACTTGAGAAGACACTACTGCAAATGTAAAAAGAGGTAGAAGGAGTATTTAATGAAGTTTAAGACCTTTTGTTTATAAGTCAAATAATAACATGGTAGAGAATAGAATAAATTCTTAACTGATGGATATTTTATGGAATAGCAGTATGTGTATGTATAATATTTCATCACTATATAAATAATAACATGGTAGAGAATAGAATAAATTCTTAACTGATGGTTATTTTATGGAATAGCAGTATGTGTATGTATAATATTTCATCACTATATAAATAATAACATGGTAGAGAATAGAATAAATTCTTAACTGATGGTTATTTTATGGAATAGCAGTATGTGTGTGTGTATAATATTTCATCACCAGTTAATCAATATAGATAAACCATAAATGTCAAGACACAGATTCTGAAGAAAAGAAAAGAATTTAAAGTACAACACGTTTAAGTTAACAAAAAATGATGAAAAATTACAGTGCTCCTTTTAGTATTGCACGTACTTTTCACATGAAACATAATACCTTCAACATATATGAAGAGTTAATAAAATAAAATAGTAATGGCCAGAACTGTGCCTAGAGGTTATTATATTATGTGTATTATGTTCAAGATATGGTGCCACCAAACATGTTTCACACTTTCAGATGCAAGTGCATTATAAAAGCAACAGTATCCAATAATTCAATTAATAGTAATCACTTCAGGCAGCAAATGTGCACTAGTTACCTTCTCATTGATCTGCTTCTTAAAATTGGTGAAGGCCATGCCTGGTTTCTGACCTGAGCATTCAGCCCATTGTCCAAATAAACTGTCATTGTGAACAAACTAACAGTAGTTATAAAAAAGTGTAATTGTACAGAAAAATCACATACTCATAAACTACTGCCTGCATGAGTGCTGTCCACCCTCTCTTTGTTTCTTGTTTGTTGAGGTCTGCTCCATGGTTGATCAATAGTTTGACAATATCCAGGTGCCCCAACATTGCAGCATACATTAATGGTGTTGCACCATCATCATCCTGGCACCAATTGCTAAGATCTGGTTCTTCTTTCAACAACTGTTCCAACCATTTTGAATTACCTAATCACATCCAAAATCAACATTTAATTGTACATACATCACAACTGGCTTTCAAATGATTAGAAAAAAGTAATTTACAATGGACAAAAGAATGGAATAAACAAAACCAAAATATTATCACACTAACTTGATACATTCTAGTTTACAAGACTACATATTAATGTAAAACTAAATATTAAGTTTAACTCATAAATGTAAAAAATATGTTTTTACTCATGAGTTTTACCAAATAAATGACAACTTCAATTGACTGTTTTACAAATACACACAAACATAAGCACTTCTATATCTACCACATATATTGGTTTATCCTAATTTCTGATGGGCTAATAAAAACTGGCACAAAGATTGAAATTCAAACCTACACAAGGTTTTTCATTTCAGACACAACTTTTATGAAATTAGCATTATCTAAAACTCTAAAATATTAAACTTGAAAACGAATAATAATAGTAATAACTTTTTCACCTTTAATTTAAATTATAAAATACAAAATACTTTTCATGTATAATTATGTTATTCATGATTTTGCATCTTTTATTGAAAGTAATTTTGTCTAATACATTTTAATAATACAATATTAGAAGTTAATCACAACTTGAAATACCATATATTGTGCTGCCCTTGGGATTATCTCCATTGTTGTTTATGCTCAATCTGATAGCTATTCTTATGCACTCGTATTTGATATTACTATCTCTATTGAAACAAGATTATTCAAAAACTGGCAAGGTCAATCTTAGACCATAACAAACTTTTCAGAGACCCTCCATGCACTGTCATTAGCTTCTAAGTCTACATTTAAACAGGTGAAAAGTAGAAGTCTATTGAAACTGCAAGTGAATTTGAAAATATTTGGTTGAGTGGAACTGTTACGATTCTTGCTTCTTCAGCCATCTTTCTCATGAAAACAGTCATTAATTTTGAGGTTTAGTTGGAAGTAAATTAATTTTTGACTTGTGAGCCTCTGTAAATTTTAAATTCTTGTTTATCTTGTTAATGATACTGGGAGATATGAGCAGCTTCCTTGCAATGTTTCTTTGGTCAGATGGCTCTCTTTTGTAACTATAGTCTAATTTGTGAATGAGATTTCCTTAGAAATGAACTTAGGATGTGGTTCTGGATTCTCTGAAAGCTTTTCCATTTCTATGAAGAACACTCATGGCTCCTTTTTTCAAAATGTCATGTCCTTTGGTTCTATATCACTTAACAATTTTGCTACACTATTGAATGGCAGTATTTTGCTCTGAATCAAATACAGAGTTGTTAAAAATGGCATCCATTGTTCTAAGGCAATGCATCTAAGTTAGCATATGCAAATTGTTCTTTACTGTAAGGTACATTTAACCCTCCATATAGTAACAGGAGTCCTCATAAAAAAATATTTGTGTTTGTAATTACCTAAGGATGGTTAGATTTGTTAAGCTCTATTCAAATAAATAAATTTTGGTAAAGTTAACATTTTCATAATCTGAAAATGTTTTTCTGATAGATACCTCTTCACACAGAAATGCTTTTTCCTTTGAGCATCTACTTATGAGATTTGTACACCATTCGTTTTGAGCTAAGTCACACCTAAATTTACATGTTTTACATGAACTGTGCTGGTTCATGATGACATCATCATGCAACAATAGCTTTCCACCAACATGAGGGCAGAATCACTTCCATGCACAGTAATTCCCCCCTAGTACTTGCACTCATGAAAACTTAATTTTTAGATGAAGCAAGGATAAAAAAGGAGCACTGGAAGAGGGAAGGTGAGGTGGGAAGAAGTGTGTATCTATCAGAAATACATTTTCAAATTAGGAAAATGTTAACTCACCTCCTGACACAGAAATTCTGGAATCACACACTGAAGTGGTGGAGGGGGCCAGTGCCAAAACTTACCTAGTTGAGCTCCTTTCAGAAAGTGCCCAAAGGGAAGCCCATGGAATGTGACACCTGACAGCAGGGGCTCATCTTATCTCAACCAGCATATAATCTTCTTCCCAATGAAAGGAAGGGGAAGACAAAAGGGATTGAAGTGTTGCAAGGGTGGGTGAAATGTGAACATGACCAACTGAGCACCCGTGATTGTCCATTGAAGTGGTACCATCTGGATCAAACAATTGAGTAAATTTGTATACCACAAGGATATTTCAAATGGTCTTGAGGAACACCCCACTTCACAGTGGCCACTGGTAGAGCCAGGACAGATGGTCTGAACACTTTACATTTTTATATTCATTCATATATAAAAACAAAGTAATTCAACAGTAACATACCCAAATAAGCAAAACGAAACATCGAGATATTCAACCATTACCTTTCTTAACAGCTTCAATAATGTCTGCTTCACTTTTCTCAACATCTAATGGGGAAAAAATTTATAAATGTGTCTTGAATATATTGATTCATTACGTTTCCTAATCAAATTTGCTATAATATGTAATTTTTTTAAATTTTCATTTAATCATAAATCATAATACTTAGTTATAATTTTAACTGAATACAGAGTTTTGGATATAATTTATAAAACAAATGCATCTAAAGTAAGCCTATATTAGTAGATTATTAAACTTGTTGGCAGTAGTCCTATCACAGTAGCACAGAGCAAAATTCACTATATGTGAAGTATCTTGCTATTCAAGACTGTTAATTCTATATATGCATATATTATGTTCAGAGATCTATAGTAAGTACTTTAAATCATAAATTTCATAATTGAACTACCTGTGATATCAAATTTGAAGTTATTTTCTAATATCATCATCAAAAACTATAAGAATGGTTAATTTCCTTACATTCTGTAGTTCTTGCTACTGTTTTATCATCTAAGTAGGCTTTGACTTCTCTCTTTCCTCTCAAGGTAGCTATATCCAAAGCTGTCTTGTCCCCAAGATTGGTCATATTTGGGTCAGCTCCACACTCTAGAAGGATCTGAGATGTTTGCTTGTGCCCACTCCATGCAGCCATCATCAAAGGAGTCAAACCTTGAATATGCCAGTGGAGAAATTAATTTTTTAAATTCTTTATACGAACTATTGGAAACATACAGGTAAATACACCAAATATTATAATTACAAATGATGTCATGTTAGTTACATCTTCAAATTCTTCTGTTTGTCTATCTATAAACATAAACAGTATCATGCACATGTGCACACAAACATACACATCTGTTATACACACACCCACATCAACAAAATAATAAAGTCCTGGGCTTAAAAAATTAGTATAAATACACCATCAGTGTTGCTGGAAAAAAGATTTAATTTAAGGATTCACCTCATGTATGTTTAATTCACCTATCTAGAACACATTATCAATGTTCTTTTTTAGTAGATGAAACAAGTGGACCAGAATTTGAAGTTAGCATATACAATATGGTGGATAATGCATTAGACCTCCTTGCTATTCTGTTCAAAGATGAGTCTGATGATGATACTGAGCAAAGATGATGAAGAAACACTTCAAGTTTATTTCTGGGGATAAACTTTGTTCTGTAAGTGACTAGAAAAAATACTATGTGATGAATACTGTTTTAAACAAATAAGAAAATATTCTGTTTGCAAAACATTCTGCATTAATTGTCGCAAAATACTTTAAGCACATGCTGTATTGGTACACTTCCTCTGCCATCTTGATGATGTCACCATTCCATTCACACCTCCTCCTGTCAAGAACAGATGAAAGAAGTCAGGAAAACTCGAAATATGATGATGAATCAAGCATACCCTTAGTAATAGAAAGATCTGAGCACTGACCAAATATATAAAAGCCATTTTCTAACTGACGGTAGGAAGGTGGAAATGCAACGTGGAGGGTCCACTCCAATTCAAAACCATGCAGCATTGGAAATGTATCATCCAGTCTGCTGTTGACTGGTCTGGCTCCAACCAACATCAGTAGAAAGGAAGGTTCCCAGCTGGAAGGGTGAACTGCAGTTGACAAAAACATCCAGTCCAAAACCATATGGCATCTAGAATACTACAACAGGGCCAAGGTAAGTGGATAGTAACACCATCTACACCGGCAGAACACCACTGCCCTACTCTCAACTAAGTGGGATTGAGCACACTCAGGAGGAAGCCTAAATGGTCCACCACCCCATTGGTTAGGAGCTGGTTGGTGGTATGGACTTCCATAATCCATTGGAAGAAGAGGAGGGGAGTGCATTGGAAAGTTTGGAGAAATACAGCATCACAGAAAGTGCAATGGGTGACCACAAAACCCTATTCTGAAAAGCAGACCATTCCTGATTCATGCAATCAAAGTAGCCACAATGATGGGCAGCAATCCCCTTCTGTTTTACTTATGCGAGTTCTTGAGTGTACGGTCTGGAAAGGATATACTTGTGACACAAAACACCATGAGGAAGAACCTTCTAGCAATCTTGTAGAACATCTCATCTTAACAGTTAGCGTTATTGATCTTATTGGCTGTACAGCGTGGAATTAAGAATAAGTATACCATGGATGAAGATGAAATGGCCACCTGATGGGGCTAATAGGAGATGAACATGTTGGGTGTGGTCCACCTGCCAGCCTGAAAGATTTTCCCTAAATGATGACATAAATGGGCAGCCAGTTAAAATAAGATGTCTAATCTTATTTGATGACATCTGTAAAACACACTGTATGGAGCCAAGAGATAAGGATGAATATGCTAGCCTGATAAGTTGGCACATCCAACCCATTAGGGTGATGTGTGAAACATCGCTTAGAGGGAAAGGGTTCCAGTGGAAAAATAAATGGGAACGGGAACTACAGAAGGAAGCCTTGAGATCACACATAAGACATATAAAACTATCTGGATCCAAACAGTAGTAGGGTAAAACTTTATTCTAGTATATATGAAACAACTTGTGGGAGTCTAAATACAGAAAAAACATGTCATGAAAATATAAAGAAACAATTTTCTGAGCCCAAGAGAGTCGAGGCCCGATGTGCCCCTCCAATGCATATGCACCCAAAAACTGAGTCAGAATGGACCCCAATATCTGAAGGCAAAAAGAAAACAAGGTATACCAAGGAAGGGGCTTAAATGAGGAGGGATATGAATAAAATATAACATACCTGTGTCCTCATATCCAAGAAGGCTAATGATGGCCTAGGAGCATTCATAACCAGAAAATCAGGATTGCATAGCCAAGGAAGAAAGGTGGAAAATGAACTACTCAAACTGTTTTGATCCAGCCCCGATTCACCAGACAAAGAAATGTCAGATTTGGACTTGAAAGAAACAGCTGGCTGCAGGATGGACCTCAATTCCCATAAAAAAAAAAACGTGACCTCCACAATTGAAAATCATATAAATTGTTAAAACTGGTCCAAAGAATATGAGTAAGAGTTTGGGCAACTAACTTGGCTGTCAATGTCACCAGAATTAAGTGTTTTGAGTCTCTATGGTCAGTTCTTGAAAATATTTGAAGCAGATTTTCCCCATCAATTTCACTTCAATTATTAAATGAAGTTTTGATTGATGGATGGTCAAGTATATACTTCCATATATCATGCATAGCACCACATTTCATCAATTTCAAGTCACATTAATACTGTATTATCTGCTCATGAAGTATGAACTCCATATTAAGAAGCAAAATGTGTTTCCATTACTTTGCCCTGTATATATTTTTGTAATGGTTCTATTATTAACCAGTTTCTTTTGGATTTTTCTGCATAGAGAATAACAGAAAGTCCTTCCACATTATGATAAACTAATTTCATAACAGAAACTACATAAGTAGTTTCACTTACATGGTCTAATTTTCTTGTATATTTCTTTAGTGAAAACACAAACTCATCACTGCAATGAACTTAAATAACTGTCTGACAGTAACAAAAAACTAAGTCATTCACTAATTACTCACTAACTGACTAACACACTCATTAACTCAATAACTCATTCTAGCAGATTCATTAACTTATTCTATCTTAACTTATTTTTTCTATATATGGCTCAATTATTTCTGAATGATTATGTTAAACTTCTTTCTGGCTGAGCAACAGTAAAAATTTTAGAGACATATCTAAGTTAACAAACAAGGATTTGAAAATGTGTATGTGGACTTTTTTTTTTAGTATTTTTAACAACTCTGAAATCAAAATCGTCTACAAATTGTTTGTCAGTCCTCCCACAGAAACACTGACTATTGAGGTGATTATATAAATGTACACATTACTCCAATACAACCAGACCTGTGACAGGAATTGCTTGGTTAACATCAACTTTCCACTCAATAAGCAATTTCACAATGGGGTCATGTCCTTGAAGAGCTGCTGTCATTAAAGGAGTCAGATCTCCACTGCCATACATGTAGCTACTGCCATCTAATGGTGCAGAATGACGAATAACTGGATCAGCTCCAGCTTCCAAAAGAAGACGAACAGTTGGCAGATGACCACTTCTTGCAGCAGCTGTCAAAGGTTGCACACCTGTAAATTATAAGGAACTGATTTAAGAGAATAGATCAAATCTTCTCCATATGACTACATTAAGTAATGGTAGATTGTAAAGAAACAAAATCCATGGTCTATCATTACTGGGTACTATGATTAATTAATTAATAAATGAAATGGATTCTATTAAACCTGTTCTAGTAAGGACTGTTAATTTCAATTATTGCAATTAAAAATAATGGTCCAAATATCTTGAGTTTATCATTAAAAGATGAACATGAATTTTTAAACTCTGATTCAAATAAAAAATCTATTCAGATTGAATAACATTGAGGCCTTTGTGTATGAAAATCACTCTTCATCTGCCTAACATTAGTCATGTATGATCACATGCTTTCAAGCTCTGCCTAGCATTACAGTTGAGTTAGGGGGGATAGTAATGTTGCCAGTCATGTGCCATTGGACACAGCTATGGTATCTCATCAGATATTTACATAAGCTCATACAAATCAACATGAAATCAGGAATCATGAAAATATGTGCATTAACCATACAAACTGTATAGTTTTTACTCTACTTAAGTCTTCCTTGTTAAATTTTTCTCATACTTTCAACAGAACAACCACGTAACTCAAAGTTCTGAATGTCACTAAGCCAATGTAATACATTTGTATTATGGCTATTATATTTTTAAACACTACATTCTTTATCTAATCCCTTAGGGATTTTTAAGAATTAAAAGAGTGTATAATAATAAACATATCCACAATCCACATGACAATTAGGCACGAGTAAATAAGTGGCTTAAAAAGCATGAAGAGATGTAAAGGAATTCTGTGGTGGGTGGGATAAATTTATTGATACCTTAGAAATTCAAAAAGGTATGAGATTTTAATTTTACATTTGGTCCTGTCAGTATTTATAGTTTGTGTTTCTAATTGTTTGGTTAGTTAGTTAAAATTTTATGGCACAAAGAAACTAGGCTATTTTGCACCAAATAACTGGCAAAAACATTGAAAGTAAAATTTTTAAAGTATATAAAAATAAGTTAAAACTATAATATGTCCAAAATTTAGATAAAAGATTTAAATAGAATTAAAAAGGTCAATGGCTCATAAAAAGTTAAAAATACAATCAAGTTGGACAGTGTCACCATCACCAATGACACTGTCCAATGTTAAGGGTAAATCCGTAAAAAGTATATGTTGAAAATGGTGCCACTGCTCATGGTCGTAACAATGGCACAACAGTAAAAGGTTGGCTATTGTGACTTACGTGTCACAAAGGCTACAAGTACCAGATAAAAGAAAACAATGAGTTAAAAATTGTAATCAATGCGTAGCCTAGCAACACAACTTCCTCCTTACGAAAGCAAGATGGTTAAAGAGCAACAGAAGGTTTGATCTGGAAAAGCTTGTTATGACATTGCTCACCCCAAGTCAACTGCCAACTGGTGTGAAGCCATGGCTTGAATACAGGACAGTAGTCTATATATGGGACAGGCACTGCCATTATGGCACCAGAGCAGACAGACTTAGCTGTGATGTCAGTGAGCTAGTTCCCATGGCCAGTTATCCAAAAACCTGGATGAAAGCAGAATGCAGAGAAAAATGGGCCAGATGTTCTTGAATATCAACAAGAACAGGGTGAGAACTAATGTTAAGCGATTCCAGGGCCAGTAGAGAGCTAAAAGAATCAGTGTAAATAGTACAGTCTCTGTACTGCATAGCTTCTACATGCTCCAGGGCAAGAGAAATGGCATACAACTCAGCAGTAACCACATAAACTGTAGAGAGGATCGTACGAGCAACTACTGAGCCACAGCAAACCATGGCAGAGCCTACAGAGTCACCTGATTTTGAACCATCCATGTAAATGGGAATAGAAGGATACTTCGAAAGATGTTCAGTAAAGAGAAGATAGTACTTCCAATCAGGAGTATCTGCCTTCCACAGGTGACTCAAGGAAAGGTCACATCTGGGGATGGTAATAAGCCATGGTGGAATGGGCTGATCAATGGGGACTGCAACGTCATCCAATGCCAGACCCAATTCAGCCAGTTGCGCCTGGAGACGAAGGCCAAAAGAAGGAATTGCAGGCTGAAAAAGTATGGCCCATTGAGGAAGAAAGACAATCCCAGGTGGGATACTGTGGTAAGGATCGAAGCGGTTCATGGGACTCAGTGTACAAACTCTGGACTGAAGAAGTGTGGAAACCCCCTGTACAGAGCCAAAGCTCCAGATGGTGAATGGGGTCCAGCATCTTCAAGGCTGAAGTCCTGGCAGAACCATAGACCAGAGGACCATAGTCCAGTTTGGATCAAATGAGTGCATGATAGATCTTGAGCAAAGAACACTGATCCGCTCCCAAGGAAGTGGAAGAAAGGACAAAGAGAATATTCAGTGCTATTGTACATTTGACACGTGGCTACTTTATATAAGAAATGAAAGTAAGCTTGCAGTCAAAGATAAGCCCAAAAACTACGCCTCAGGGACCACGGGAAGAACAACATTACCAAGACGGAGCTCAGAATTGAGGTGTAGACCCCACTGCTGTCAAAAATGCATGCAAACGGTTTTGGAAAAAGAAAACCATTTGCTGTGGTCCACTTCAACAAGCAATTGAGGGCAGACTGACATGAGATGTGAAAGTCATCAACATTGAGCCCGCTTGTAACAATAGGAAGTTGTGAAGTGATAGCATTAATCTTGATACTAAAAAGTGTGACACTTAAGACAGTCCTGAGGGACTTTAAGTTCTTGTGGAAAAGAACGGGAAAGATTCAAACCCACATGGAGTTGAAATCGCCTGTCCAGTAAAAAGTTCTAAATAAAAAGGAGTAAATGGCCATGCAACCCATATGAGTGGAGGTTCTGCAAAATTCCTTACCTCCACGTAGTAATACAAGTCTTCTCAAGGTCAACAAACAAACAGGGAAACAAGATGTCCCTTCTTGAGGAAGGCTTTCCTGATCAAGGTTTCAAGTCGATTCAGGTGGTACACAGCGAAGTGCTGTCAACAGAACACTGGGTTGGCAAGAGGAGGTTGCTTGATTCAAGGAACCAAACAAGATGAGCATTAACCATCCTCTCGAAGACCTTACAGATACAGCTAGTCAAATCAATTGGGCAATAATTAGAAGGCATCTTGGGATCCTTCCCAGGCTTAGAGAAAAGGAGGGTAATGGCCTGCTGCCAAGCATCAGGATAAACATTCTCCTGCCAGATCCAGTTAAAAACAACCAGAGCAATAGCAAGAAAGGCAGGAGAGAGAGAGAGAGAGATGGCACTGCATCCTATAATGAACAATATTAGGTCTGACCGATGTATTGCCAGACCGATAGAAAGCAAGTTTTAGTTCCACCAGAGTAAAGGGGCGATTATAGAGGAAGGAGAGAGGAAATCGAGACTTGATGGCCAAGAAGGTGAGGGAAGAAACATAAATGATATATGCACGAGAGAAGCTCTCACCAAGAGTATCGGCGATGCTCTGGACATCAGCAACTTCCTGGCCATCAGAGAGCAAGATGGAAGAGGAATGGGAAGAATACCTCCCATTGACCTTCCAAAATTTGTCCCATATGATTTTGGAACTGGTGGTAGAAGAGATGGTAGTAGTGAACTTAATCTAAGATTCCTTTTTGCTTTGACGCATCACCTGCCAAGCGTGGGCACAGGCCCGATGATAAACTATGTGGTTGGAAAGCGTTGGATATCATTGGAAGGTATCCCAGGTTCGTTTTTGAGCCTTTCTGTGCCTCCTGGCAGGCAGGACTCCACCATGGACTAGGATACTGTGAAGAATGTGACAAGGTCTTAGGAAAAGAGTGAACAGCTGCCTGGACAATACAGTTACTCACTGCTACCATGCAGTCACTTACAGATGGCAGACAGACAACAGCAGGATCAAGTTCTGAGAGAGCAGTGAAAGAGGGCCAGTTGCCCCAACTTCCACCAAAGCACTCAGGTCAGGTGGTATTGACCATGGCCAATCTCCCTCAAAATGATAGGAAAATGATCACTGCCCCGAGGGTCACTGTCAACCCTCCAAGTAAAGTGAAGGGGAGCAGATAGATAGATCAATGGTAGTAAAAGACTGACTATGTGCATTTAAATAAGTATAAGAACCAGTATTGAAAAGAGAAAGGTTGTGATCCGAGAGCACATGTTCTACAGAACGACCCTTCCCATCAATATCAGCATCACCCCGAGGGGAATGTGTCCATTAAAGTCACCCAGGATTAAAAATGGAGATGGCAATTGTTCGATGAGAGCATCAATGTCTGATTGAACGTCTCTCCAGGAGACAGGTAGAGAGAACAAACAGTGATGGTATAACCCAAGGAAACACAGATGGCTACAGCCTTCAAGAATTTCGTGAGTAGCACAGACGAGGTGGGCACACACTGGTCAAACAGCAGTGCCACCCCTCCATACACCTGCCCAACACACAACCTGTCATTGTATCAGCATTGTGTGTTTTTCCTTCTAGGAAAAACACACAAAATGAATCAAGGCCTTAATATCATCCAGATTAGAATAGAAACCTTGATAGTTCCACTGTATCAAAGTAGCCATTTTTACTTAGGTGGAGGAGAACACCATTTTTCTTTATTAGAAAGAGGTCTGTCGACCTCCATGGATTCTGACCTGGGAATAGTGGGCAGGTCTCTGTCAGTAGACAGATTTCAGCGACTGAGGGCTTGAACAAATAATCGGTCAGCATCGCGGAGCCAAAGAAGATGGACCCAAGCAGGCACCAAAAGCCAGGGCTGAAGGAACTAGACCTGGGCAGTCACTGGAAGGAATGTTGGTGACAGAGACAGATGTAGACATGGACTTGTCAACTTCATTATCCAGTGAAGCCAAAAGACATGATGCAAAAAAGACTTTGTATCAGCAGGTTTCAGGAATGTTTCCTAGAAGGAAAAACACACAGAATGAATCAGGGCCTTAATATCATCCAGGTTAGAATGGAAACCTTGATAGTTCCACTGTATCAAAGTAGCCATTTTTACTTAGGTGGAGGAGAACACC